ATCTAATTGCAATGGAGTATAACAGTGTTGTCAGTAGGGCTAGGAGTTGATTGATTTTGTGGGTTGGCTGTTCGAGGTCACAGTTGAGGTCAGAGGATAGGTCTGGAGCAGATTAGCCATTTTACACTTTTATTTAAGGCTGAAATCAACACCTGTGAGGTGTTTAATTGGCTACCAGTTTTGTGATGTTGAAGCTGAACAGCCTGGTAATGTGGGTTGACAGATTAATTGATCAAGGTCATGGTGGTGGGTTTTCAGCCTGCTATTTTGTTAGTCATTACAAGAGGCTGTTTTAAGCAAATCTGGTGGTCCTCAGAGTTAGATTTTTTTTTTAATGTTAGTGATTACAATTGTATTTTATTATGGAGATTTATTTTGTAGACTGGATATGATGCTCAGAGCACCTGCACAGAAAATGACTTTTTTTGTGTTTTGCTTTTTAGCGTTGTCAGCAGTTTCAATAATTTGAAAATATAGAATATTTTCTTAAAGAATTTAATGAATCAAAATCAGAATTTTTCTTTTATGCTGTAATGCACAATTTAACTAAGAGGTCCCATAAGTCATTGGAAGGTAAGTAAAATACTGCATATGAAGTTATATAAACAGAAGAACTTTCTCAATCACCCTCCAAAAATGCTTGAAACTTTCATTAACATCTATAATCGAAAATGAAAAAGTTATAGTAGATTGTTTTATTCATACTTTTATTACAATTCTATGCAAAAGGGATAATAGCAGAGATATTGGAGATATCAATGATTGAGTAACATTTCCTGAAGCCAGCTTGTTTCCATGGATGGTCTAATGTATTGTTAATTACATTGGTAAAAAGCTTGTATAAACTAAATAAATAATTAGTTTAGAGTTAGCAAATTATTTTAGATCTCTCTTTTTATACAACAGTATGATGACTGCACTATTTCAATCACCTGAAACTTTGTTTTGCTTGAGAGTCTCATTGATAAGCAGAACTAGTTTCTTGATGATCTTAATTGAATCTTTAAGCAGATTCTATAAGAGAATCAAATAATAGGAGACTTACTTCATCTCAGAACATCAGCAAATGCTTAAATGTATAGTCAGTTCGATTCAATCAGTTTAGGCCTATTCAGGGTCAAAGGTTAAACTTAGCAGCAAGAGGGTTGCTCTCAATAGAAATACACTGTGAGAAAACTAAATATAAGCAGAAGAAGAAAAATCTCTCAAGTTGGGCTTTTGCTGATAACAAGGGATAAAGTAAGATATATTCAAAGTAAGGCACAAGATTAATTTCAAAACAAAAATGAGTTATTCTTGTTTAGAAAACAGGCATTTATAACAATCAATTTTAATTCACATTTAAGCACAGATATAAAATATATGAGAAACGTTTTAAAGTTAAAATGATAATTTATTTTTGAAAAAGAGTCCATATAAAAAATTATGATAAATGTTAACAATAACAAAGTTTAAACAATACTGAAGAAGGTGGAGAAATTTTCATTGGCTGAAGTCTTTTCTTAATTTATTTTACTGTTTTTAGCCAGGGGATATGCATTGAACAGGTCATACAAATGGAATTTTATCTTTCTTTGCATTTTATCTATGAAAGCATTAAACAATTTACTACCTTCTGACAAATGCTCAAGATGAGTGCATGTACTAAATGTTGCATATCTCTCTCTCTCTCCATATATGCATGCATATATATATATATATATATATATATACACATACATATATAAAGGCACATTGGGGACTTGGTTTCTCCTTTTTTTAATATAACACTCTGATGTTGCTCAATCTTATACTGACCAAGTAGAAATTCCAATCAAATTTGTTGCATTCACTTATGTGCAAATACACTTGGGAAAGATATGAATCCATCTCTTCTCTCCCCAGTTATGAGTAAAGAGCAGGACAGACTGAGTCCTATAGCTGTGGGTGGTAACTGGTCTAGAAGAACAACTCTCAATTCAAAACCTCCAACTATAAGTTAAGTAACCTCACCAACATGTAATTGGTCAAGCATGGTGTTACCTTTATATATGTGTGTGTGTGTGTTCATAATTTAAGAATTAAATTAAAATGGGAAATCATACAACACCCTACCTGGTCATCCAAGACTTCCAACACCATGGCTGGTCATTGAAGTGACTGCTTCAATCCCGAGCTAACCTATCCCACATTGTGATTTAAGGTTTGATCATAAGGCAGTCAAAATCGAATCACCACAGATATCTTTGTGTTGGGCTGGTCCAAGCAAAGCAATGACGTAAAGGAAAAAAATAACACTTGAATAAATTGAACAAAAGTAAATACTCTTTTTATATCGGTCCTCTATACAATAATTGGTTTATCAAAGTTTGCGTGCAATTAATTATCAGCCCAACCTGCATCTAAATCATTGATCTGGTAAAGTTTAGTTTGCTGCTTTGGTAAAGTTTGGCACAAGGCTGAAGTTAGCAGATAATCATGTGGGCCTCTCCCCTGTCTCTGGTCTTGTCTCTTCTGCCTCTCTTCTACATAATTCGCTTCGCACATTCATATTTATGGATATTCACCCAAACTGGCATAGGGAAATGGTGAGGTAGGAGCATTTCCATGAATTAACTCTGTCTTACATCATAACTTTTGGAAATTCACTCTTTCCACCCTCTCTTTTATTATCCTCTCTCACTAACCTCTTCAATGAGCGTGGGTGGTTCCTCCATCCTAACTTGATGTCTTAGCTGCATCTGCTACCTCGACCATTTTCCATCCAGGAAAACTCCCTTCCAAATTCAGTTGTTTACAAAATATACTTTTTTGCTTTCCAGCCCATATTTGTAGCTGCGTGTTGTTATAGACAAGCATATGGTTGCAAGAAAGAAATACAACAACAGCAGAAATAGATTTACGTGATTTATTTCAACAGGAATGTGTGGGTTTGGAACAGCTACCTTGTGGTAAAGTTCATAAGCCGGCTTTGAATCTGGGTTGATCTCTCATAGTAGTTCACACTGGTTGGCACTCCCCCTGCTGACTGCTGCTGACCACTCAGCCTGACCGTGACAGATCTCTTCCCTGGCCTCCTGTTGACTGCGTTGTACTTCCGTGTGACCTCTTTTATGGTGTTTTTTTATGGCTTAACAAGCTTGAAAAACGATGTGAGTATAATTAGGAAGGAAGCATTTTTATTGGTCGAAAAATAGAAACACTTTAAAATATTATTTTATTTTTTGACTGGAACTCACACATCGGGAACATGCGTAAATGAAGATAATGGTCATTTTGTGACGGGGCCTTGTCCTGTTCACATCCGGCTCTCGCTCTTGAGTATGTTAGTTTATTTGCCTGTAAATCAGCCAAGATATGTCTTAATTTATTTTAGAAAAGTGTCAATCAACATTGCCCCCAAGTCTGGGTCAATTTTCCATTGTTCAAACTGCTCAACATACAATTCAAGTTGTTTATGTGGGAATTAAATCCTCAATTCTTCCCACAGGTTTTTGGTATTAACCCTTCTTGTTTCAATGTCTCTCAGCACATAACATTTCCTTATGTTTTAACAAAACTTTCTTCTGTACAATAGTACATAAGATTAATTAACAATAACACATATAATAATGAATGAGTAACTCAACAAATTTGTTAGCATTTAAATCTCTTATTTTCCTGAATCATCTTTCTTCTCAACAGTACAAACTACTCCACTCATCAAAGTTTTCAGTTTATTAGTTAGATCAATAAAGAGAGTGAAATATTTTGAATATTGAAAGTAAAGAGAGAAATCAGCAATTTTTAAGTAAGGGAAATAATTTTCAGGTTCAAACCAATATGAAAGATCACCTGTAGGTTCAGCATTTTGTCTGCTGCTCTAAAATGTGTATTTTCAACGCAACACCCACAGCAGCCAAAAGCGAAAGCATGAACTGAACTTTCACGTCGACTTTAGAAAATTATTTCCCTTAAAAAGTGCTTTGAGCTATCGAGAAACAATCATTCAATCAATACAAAGACACGTGTTTGGTGGTAATAGTTAATAATAAATATAGATTATTTTCATTTTATTAAAATACTTCAAGCCTTTCAACTTTTTTTTTCACTAAACTAAAAATAAAGCAGAAAACCTCTAAAAATAGTCTTGTAACAAAAAAAAAAAAACGAAAATAAAAAAAGAGTTATTTTTGTTGCTAGTCGAATGTTCGTGCATTTTGTTTTGTGCTAATTGCTATATTAATTTTTAAGATTTTAAAATGCGTCATTCTTAAAATAAAATATAAAAATAAAATGTTAATAAACCAGCCAATAATCATCGATATACCAATAAATTACCTACAAGTTCGGTTCATTTTATATGCTATGCAGAATTATTTCGAACTCGTCAAAAGAATAAGAAAAATCCGATTTTAAACTAGAGTAACGACTTCTTCCAAAGTTCCTCTTTAATTTCTAATTTTTTTTTTTTTTTTTTTAAATAGTTATTGATATAAGCGACAACAAACGGTCAATTACGTAAGCGGCGCTATTTATTTTAGTTTTTTTTTTTTTAAGTTTATCTCGGAGTTTATTCTTTTTTTTCCCCGGTCCGAAAAGAGACTTCAACTGAACAACATTCTAATCAAACTTCTTCCAGAAATACCAAAAATTAACTTATAATTCACCTCCATCGTCTAGATATAATGGGCCATTTTGGTCGTTTTTTCCTGGCAAGACTAAAATGGTGTTGACTGCTATTCGGAGCAAAATGAAAGATGTGTTGACTGTTGTTGGTTGAATCTGCAACAAACATAGATCTACAATATATGTATATTTTTCAAATTGGAATGGAACGAGAGCAAAAAATAGAAAAGTTATCATCTAAAATTCCTACAGGGGATAATGATGCTATTGTCAATCGCGAGGATATTAATTCCAACAGTGTAGATACTATAACAGAGTCTATAGTAACACCACAACAATACGATAGTAGCAGCAGCAACAATAACAGAACGGCAACGTCGACATTACCTGAATCTGCTAAATCTTTCCCCAAGCAGGAACAAAAAGAAGTCCACAGCGAACCGGTTTCTTTTTCTTTTACACGTAGCCGTGATAGTGTTTCTTCATCGAAGACAAATTATAAAGCTGACGATGATGAACCATCTCAAAGCTGTAACAGCAAAAAAGTTCCAGAGTCCCGAAATAGAATTTCAGATTTGTCAGTTAGGGTCCAGGGCGTCCTACGTCGCATCTTAGGGCAAAATTACTCAGACATGGACCCTAATTTTCACAACTCCGTTGTCAATTCCTCATTATCAACAACTTCTTCACCGTCCTCTTCATCTTCATTGTCGTGCTCTTCACAAATTTCGCAAAAAAGGCTACCAAAAAGTGATTCATTTTGCGATTGTTATGTTCTTGGCAAAGAAAAGAGCTGCCAATGTGGCGAAGAAGATTCATGTAAGTAAAAAGAAATTAATTAGACTAGTAATTCTATATTTATTTGTTAAACTATCCTTCATCATCCATCACTAAAACAGAAAATTTCATTAGGGTCGTCTACTTGTTTGCGCATGTTATTGCACAGCTTGAGAAAAAAATATTTTATTTTGACCAGTATATTTTTTTCGCTTTTTGAAGGAGAATCGTTGGAAATATTTTTACAAGTAAACGTAATAAAAATGAGTAACTTACAAATGAGATCCCCGGTTGGCTACGAAGATTTGACAGAAAGCCCTTTTTAAAAAATGCAATAAACAAAAAATTCTAAAAAAAAATTTAAAAACTCAATTTTATTTTTTTTTTTTTAAAGGAAAAAAAAACTAATTAAAAAAAATAAGTTACGTTATTTAATGTCGATTTATATTTGTTTACATAATTAAATTAAAACATTTTAAGATCGATTTCTGTTTTATTGTACGTTAACTTAACAGTTGGAGGAAATTTTTTTTCGTATCAATCAATATTTCAAAAAAGTTACTGACAATGAGTGTTCACCGGTTTTACCAATAAAACTTACATGAAGATTTTCTCATATGCGTCCCTTTTAAGCACTAAAAAAGTTTTTTGATGTCTACAAGAAAAAAATACGTAAAAAAAAAAAAAAAAAGTTACACTACACTACAGCTTTCTTTTTTTTAACTTGTAACTTTATGGAACAGGTGTAGTGTAAGGCCGTTTAGTAGCCATCAATATCCCTTCTTTTCCTTAAGTTTAGTTGTCTAGAGGTAGCAGTATCTATATATGATTCTAATTAATATCGGTATTTATTTAATTTTGGTTTAAAACGGAGTTTTTGAGGCTCGTATATTCTAAAAATTTTGGTTTTTAAACAGATTCGTCCTTGCCTTGATTTAGACCTCAACAAAAATAAAATAATTTTTCCAGCTTTAAACAAATTAAAAAAAATAGTATGCAAACATGTTTCCTTTTACTTTACAGATTGATTGTAAAACAGATAGGTGCAAGTCAAAATTCTTTTCGATAAACATTGAACTGTTTATTTATTTATTTTTTCAATCCATGCAAGGAAAGAAAGGGCATTTAACTCTTGCACTCATGAGAAAATGATTTTGCATCAAAAGTTTTAAAATGTTAAAAAATAACTAAATATCAACCCGAGGTAGTGTTACTCATAAAAGGAATTAAATTTAAAATCAACAACTGATTCTTAATTTTTGCTTTGAGTGGAAATCTGAAAGCTTAAAAAGTGATATTGAACAATGGAAAGATAAAAATAGGATTCTAAAAACAACCCTGACTGTATTCTTTTAAGCTTAAAAATAATTAATGTTTTTCTTTGGCTTATAAACATATGAAGAATTGTTTTGTTTGAAGCTTGCACGTCTTCAAAGTGTCAGGAAATCCAATATTAATGACTTTCCAAAGCAAGTTGTTTGGATGTTTGCATTTTAAAAGATTTTTTTTTTGAGAAAAAGAGTGTCAAATCAAGTATTTTGAATTATGCAAAAAGAAAAAAAATCGCAAGTCTCTTATTCTGGTGTGAAATTTGCAAAGAAAATATTTTTCAAAATCTACAAATTGTACAAATTACATACAATTTCCTTTATCAATGCAGGTTAACATTTCTTTCAAATACAATTCAGTTTCTCTTAGAAAACTACAGTTCATGTAAAGCAAATGTTTTCTTTAACAACAAATATTTTAAGAACTTTTAGAGCAACTGTTCATATAAATCCATTTCTTAGCAACAAAAGAATTTTCACAATTCAAAATGTTGAAAGCTGAAATTCAAAAGTGAAAGTTGAAGTGGAGTGAAAAATGTCAAACTTTTCTCATCCCCACAAAGCTGCTTTTCTGGATCCCTTTGACAAATGTTCAGATTTTTGGAACAGGTGTTCTCAAATTTGAGATAAATTTACATAAGTCTCTGAAAGTCATTCATATTATGAGAATTTAGAAGAAATCTTCATCAGTAATAGTAGTAGTCTTTTATCATACCAACATATTACTATTTTTCTCAGCAGCAGACTTTACACACCGAGATGATGACAGACTTTCAACTGAGTATGGTTTATCCCTTTCTGTCTTTGTAAACAAATTTTTCCCTCTTATATAGCAAATACTTAGATCAAAACAGACTTGCAAAACAATTCCTTACAAGCCTATATTATCACCTTTTGATTTAAAAAAAAAAAAAAAAATTTGAGAGTCCTCATTCAATCCAATCAAACCATACCATTTTCAGTTCAAATTTGGTTAGTTTTTGAAAACCTTTGTCTGGCCTCATCCTGTAAAAATTTGCCACGGAAAGTTTAAATTGTTTGGTTTCACTTTGGCAGTTTTTTCTAACATCAATTTGAGTTTTTTTTTTTTCCTAAAAAATTTTTACACATCATTTTTCTTTATATATATATATATATATATATATATAACTTTGGCTTCATTTTGGCAGTTTCTTTTTCAAAGAAACTGTTAGTATCATTGTAATTTTCTTACTTTCTAATACAATTCAATATTAACATTTTTATTAAAATATTTTCTATATTAATTTTTACACAATTCCAAAAGTTTATTTTGCTATCATTTTTATTAAAAGTAATTATCATTTTTTGTGTATAGAATTTGTAAGTGCATGAGCTTTGTAAATAAGCAGAATTTACAATTGAATGAACTTTTAAATAACTCTTTAAATATACATGAGTAAAAGTTTAATTCCTAACTTTTGTTATTAAGAGATAGGGAATGGCTCTAACAATTAATTAATAGGCATGCAACTGTGAGGGTAAAGGAAATGGAAGAAAAAAACAAAGAGGGTAATGTGGTAAACACAAGACTATTAATAACCTAAATGTGATTATGCTTTTCTTTATCTGTTAAGTAGCTGCTGGGCTTACTTTATTTTGGAAGACCTTAAATTGATTTGCTAAAGTTATAAATTAGGATTTCATTTCACAGAAACCTATTTTCAACTCAAGGGGGATAACTGATCGCTAAATTTAATTCTTATTTAATGTTTTGGGATTTTTTTTTTTTTTAAATTAATTTCAGAATCATTATTTTCCGTCACCAAAATCTTTTTTTTTTTTTTTTTTTTGCTTAAATAAACGTAGTATAATCAAGAAATTTTATTTTATGTACGTTGATAGTAAATCTCGGTGCTGCTGAACTAAAACTAAAATAAATTGTTCAGAGTAGGTTATTTGGTAAATTTGCTTTTTAACGCCCGCGCTAAATATCTCTTAAAATTTTCCCACATCGTCATAATTCCGTGTAAAATGTACATGCTGAACTCGAATTAAAAAGTAAAAATTTTACCGGTCAAAAAAAAGCAAATTTACCGGTCATTTTGTTTCAGGGATTCTCCGAATCGTGTCCGCAGACTTTCATAGAAAAATAGAAATAAAGGAAAATATAGTTAATAAATAATAGTACTGCAGTTTGCTTTTTAAATACACAAAAGAAAACTCTTTTTCTGCTTATAAAACATTGTATGGATTTTTGTCATTTACAGTAGGTATGGACACGAATATCAACTAAAAATTAATTCCTTTTTAAAAAAAAAAAAAAAAGCAATTTAGAATATATTCACGTACGTAATTTCAGAAGCTTTACTTTTTCTTAAAAAGGAATCATTTTTTAAAAATATTAGTTATACAAGCTTAAAATAGTTTTTTTGCTTATATTTTACATTAGTTTTCTTTTAACCACTTTTTTATGACAAATCTAGAAAACATTTTATGAATCAGTCTACTTTATTTCAAGAAAAGTCAATGATTATAAATGATTAAAATTTGTGTTCATTTTTTTTCCTCCACTGTTACAAATAAAATCAGTAAACGTGTAGGTCAACAAGAATAAGGGCGAAAAAAATCGTAATTTATCACATAAAATATTAAGTATATTTTTTACTAGCAACTACTTTGAGATTTTTAGTAGTAGCTTTGTTAAAAAGGGTTGGATTTGAAAGTTATTCAAACACTGCCAATAACAATAAAAATGCACCAATTCTACTAATGATGATATAAAAGTATAGCTTACCATAGAAGTAAAAAGGACAGCATTTCCATATTCAAATTGCTATTGCTAAAAAAAATAAGCTGTGGAAAAAAAAATATTAGGGCATATTGGATAGTTTACAAAATATTTTTCATTTTATTGTATTTTAGAACATAAAATGTTTCAATGTGATTTATTCATTTAAAGCCCATGATTTTAACAGGACTTAGACTAAAGTTCCATTCTACATAGGAAAGAAAAAATATCAGTTGGTGTTTCTCATTATTTGATTAACATTTTTGTTTTTATCAGGCTTAGTGTCATTTCATCCTCTAAGGACTAATAATGTGATCACCTTTCCAGCTTGGAGAACGTAATTTTCTTTGAAGGAAAGATGTCAGTTTCCACCACTGTATTTTTACCATTGTCTTTGATGCCACAGGAGTAGAATCAAGTTTCAATCTTTTTTTTTTTTTTTTTTTTTTTTAATAATCTCAGATATTTGCTGTATGTGTTTTAAACAGTCTGTTTGAAATTTCAAAATATTAAAATGGCCAGATTAAAAGAAAAAAGAAATCTTAAATGATGCATATTTATAATATTCATGACTTTCCATTTTAAGCATCTTGAAAGTAAAAGGCTTAATTTAAATTTTGGCTGTATTTTGTTTGTGACTTTTATTCACTCTCAGATTTTGATTGGGTTTGGGATGAGGATTCCAAGTCTTCAGCCTGTCACCTGAAACAAGATCACCGTGAAGTGATGTTCCATATGGATTACAGTTGTGGTACAGCAGCTGTACGTGGAACAGTCCCAATGAAAGAAAACCAACATTACTGGGAAGTGAAGATGACTTCAACTGTTTATGGCACTGACATGGTAAGAGAAAATCTGGCTTTCATTTTTCAGTGGACTTCAATTTCATTATCCAGTATTCTCAGTTCTTATAGCATTTTTTTAAAGAAAAATTTGATAACAGGCATGAGAAAAAAGTTTTCTGAAGAGTTAACTTATTGTGTATTTGTTGTTTCACAAACATCATTTGAATAAAATATTCTAGATCATAGTCAACTTGTTCTCTGCTCAATTTTTCTACACTTCAATTTCTGAAAGAAAATTTGAAATATATTTTTAAAAAATAGGCTTATTATTTTCAGTGTACCATATTTGTCTTCATATAACAATGCTCCACCCCATTTTACAAGGATATTTTGTGGAAAAAAATTTTAGTATGTTTCATCATATATCTATATATTAAGTGGTTTTGTAGGGGAAAATGTATGATTTTGTGAATGTTAATACAATATTTTGACAGTATATTGTTTATTCCATTTTTATTTATAACTATGAAATCATGTACTGTAACTTTTACCTTCAAAGGAAACTAAATTAAATTTGCAAAAGCAGAATAAATGCTGGTACATTTGTATCAATGAGTACTAGAACAAAGCAAACTGATCCATAAAGCAGTCAGTAAAGTACAATAAATGTGAATGAATTCTTATCAATAATTACAGTGCAGAATATTATCAGTAGTATGCAACAGGATAAAAGCTGAATGCATTTTAACAGAAACTGGTATTTCAGTAAACAGTACAGACCATCATACATATTTTATTATTAATAACAAAATTTACTGTAATAATTTGACTTGTTTTCAATATTTCATTACTAGTAACAATTTTTATGGCTAGTGGATGCCCTAACCTAATGGTACAGCACTCTGTCATCTCCTATCTGTAATACGACTGTATTAGGTGCAGGGCAGTTTTTTGGTACATTTTAAAATAAAAATGTATCTTCCGTGAAGGCAAATACAATAATTCAAAACATTGTTTATCTGATTGCTAATTAATTTGTCTTAATAGTCACAATTTCAAATTTAAAAATGATTTCATCTATCATGATCCTAAAATCCCCATGTGATTGTACTGCATTCCACTGGAGGGTTAACAGTAAAAAAATTTTTTTTTTTTTTTTACACTTAAAATATATCTATAACTTTAGAACGCTACATGGACTAAAATCCACAAACATAATAAACAAAGATGTGTATGATACCCACTGTTAGGACTGATGAGAAAAAAAGAAAACGGTTTTGCAAACAAGAAAAACTATTAATCTTCTCATTTAACCAACAGAAACCTTTTACTAAAGTTTTACTTAAAACCTTTGCTCTAGTTTTATCAGACAGATGCTTTTAAATAAATTGTATATCTGTGTATTAAAATACTCTTCAACAAATTGAATACATAATCTATTGACAATGTAGCTCATCTAATGTATCTACTGTAAGAGAAACAAAAACTATTGTCCTTTCTACTCTGCTTGAAGCAACTACTATTTTGATGACCAGTTTTCTATTTATAGTCTTGCAGTAAATGAACTGATCAATTTCCCCAACATCTCTTCATGGCAAACTCATTTTTTGCCAAGCACATGAGCTTAATGAAGTTCATTCTTTTTTCTCATCTAGTTTTGTTTCAAAACACTAAAATGCACAATCAAAAATTGTGACTTGAAATACAATACAAATGTAATGTAATGTAATGTTAATCTGACACTGGATACTTACTGGTAGGTACACCCCAATAATTCACTGAAAAAAAACATAGCATGATGAAAAAAGCCCCAAACTTGATAAAAACAGTTTTATTGTCAAAATGTTGATGTTATTATTAAAAGAAAAGACTAAAGTATTTTGATTAAGTTTTCTTAATCACTTCTAGCATATTCAAAATTTTGGTTAAAAAATCTTGTTTTCTTTGCATCAGCAAAGATTAGTTATTTTCCAGTAAAAAATACATTGATTTACAAATTCTTGCAAAAATCAAATTGTCAGATTTTAATGAAACTTTCAGGACTTATAAAAATGAAATTATTTGAGTTTTTTTTTTTTTATTCTATTTTTATACACATTTGCTACCCCTCCTCTTAATGAACTTTTGAGAAAATACATCTTCTGAATTATAAAAAAAACCCTTTTAATTGTTGAAAAAAATTTTTTTTCAATGAATGAATTTTTACAAGAATGGTTTTCTTTTTTTTCTTTTATTTTCAAATTTTAATTAGAATAATTTATAAAGTTTTAAATCTTCTAAATTTTTATATTAATTTGTACAGGTTAGGTGATATTAAGTAAAAACTATATTTATTAATCATAAATTGAAAAGCATAGTACAAATCCTCACACACCAATATTTTAAAAAATTTTGAATTTCTCTTTTTATATGTATAAACATGCTGATTTTCTACATACAGTTGACTATGCATAATATTATCTGAAAATAAGTCATAACTATGGTAAATTTACACCCAAAAATATTTAAAATTCAATAAAAGATATTTTCTTAAATTTTTAAGTTAATGGGTACTTAAAAATTATGTATAAAAGGCACTCGTGTTAATTCAGTTACTTTTTTAATGCCTAAAGCCCCCTTTCAAATAAAATTACTTTAAATCTGCTAATATTTCTCAGTTTCATTTTTTTTTTTTTTTTTTTTTTTTTTATAATAAAGAGAATTACATCGTGGTGAGAGCTAACTAAAAAAAAAGAGCACTCATCAGATATTTTAGAAAAAAAATTCTTTCCAGTCAATTTAAATTAGTTTTTGAAATATAGCAAAGTATCTTGCTTATTCGAAATATTAAATTTTATCAAGATGTTTCATTTTTAAAATTTATTTTAAACCTTAGGTATTGTTGGGTTTTTTTTTTTTTTTTTTTTGATTGGGGGGTGGTTAGGTACCTACTCAATTGCTATAATATACTGCATAATTTTTGTAATAATTATAAATGTAAGCTTTTCAGTTAAGTTTCTAGATATTTTCTCTTTTCTTGATCAAATAAACCATCAGTATCATAAGAATACTATTTATAATTTATTTATAATTGTCACCTCAGATTGCAGTTAGACCCCAAATTTTTTTTTTTTTTTTTTTTTTTTAGTAAAATTTTTCAAAATTGTTTTATGAACAAAACCTCATTTAAGTAGCTATCACTGAAACCATAATTTTTAAAATTGTATTTGTAATTTTGTTTGTTCTAGTAATGAGTAGCTTGTTTATTTTATATATATATATATATATATATATATATATATATATATAATTTTATTCTTGTTTTTCAGATGGTTGGTGTTAGCACAATGAACATTGATCTTAATAAATACAGACATGCTTTTTGCAGTCTACTTGGTCGAGATGAAGACAGTTGGGGTTTATCTTATACTGGAGTTACTCATCATAAAGCACGAAAGGAACTGTATACATCCAAATTTGGCCAAGGAGATATTATTGGTGTCCATCTCGACATGTGGTTGGGAACTATGTCTTATTACAAAAATAGGAGGCCTTTAGGTTAGTAGTTAATTGCATTTTTAATAATTGCTTTTACACTTACTGAGTTTGCATGTTCTAAGCCAACTTTTACCAAAAGTCAGCATTTGTCTTTTTGTATCCATTAGCTCAAGACATCTGGCCAATTCATAATGAAACTTCTTTTGGGAAAATGTGTTGTGGAAATTTCCTTATGCAATAACTGCCAAAAAATTTCTCTTAACTCGTGTTAAGATAATTAAATTAGCTGATAAGTTGATTGGTTTAAATCTTGTCAACCAAAAGGGATGTTTTGGACTTGTTAATAGGCTTTTTTGCTCTTTTTAATTAATGAAACAAACAATTACAACTTGAATTAGAGCTTTTTGTTTTCTTTAAATTGAAATCAGTTCTTTCATTGGAACTTTGTATTTTGGCTATAAAGTATGATTTAAAATTTGTTTGAATTAATATTTCTTTATTTGAAGATACTTACATTTCATTAAAAAAAAATTAAATTGAAATTCTCAGTGTCTCCTTGTACATGTGTAATTACATCAATGAAAACATCCCTTTAGTCTGAAGTCCTAAAGATTGAAAGATGTCACACAAAAACTTTTTCCACTTTTTGATAATAAATGCATACAGTGTGTGGCAGAAATATTTCTTCCGTATACTGCCCACATAATGGTAAGACATTAGTGGCAAGGGTGTCTTCATTTACTTATGTGTGTATGTGTGAGGTCTGTCTCTCTCTCTCTCTCTCTCTCTCTGTCTCATATATAGTGAACGTTGAAGTTAACACTGAGACAACAGACTTTCATGATAGACGCAATCATCCAACCACATTACATGCTTTCTATCTCTGATATGGAGCACTTTATCCCATAAATATAGCATACCTTAAAACTATATTTCTTATATAAGGGTGCTGAAATGTTTTCAACCCTAACCACTTTCCAAAATTATTTTAAGGTTTCTTTGTTGGAAACATTTTAGCAGCCACCTTTTTATAGTGTTCATGAGTTACCATGTATCATTTCATATTTCATTATTGAAAATGGTGAAAAATCACCACTACTCCTTGACAAATTGTCTGTATCTGTTTCAGGCATTGCTTACCGGGGTCTACAGGGCAAGAGTTTGTATCCAGTGGTATCCTCAACAGCCGCTCGTAGTGGCATGAAAGTGGTCAAATGCCGTTCCTTCCCGACATCTTTACAATTTGCCTGCTGTCAGGCCCTTCGCAGATACATCCCACCACATCTAGATGTACTTGAAGTAGTTGATCTGCCACCAGGTCTGCGTTCATTTTTACAGAACAAAGTCAGCTGGCTACTGCAGTCATGTGTATTCCCCACACAAAAGAACCTTGTTAATACAGGTAAAAAACGCTCTTGCTCTGAGCCGTCAGGATGCTATGAGGATGATGACAGATGTAAGCGTCGCTGCTTGTGGGAAGTTTGTCCATTACAAGGAATGTCCTGAATAAATATATTGAATCTGGATCATTGGAGAAGCTGCCTGAAAACTGTGATAAGGGTTTAGCCAATTGCTTTGTTGGAATAATAATAATAAACCAAAGAATACAATATTATTATAGAACTTAATATATTTGAAAATATGCTTGTCTGAGTGTGTGCTTCTGGATATGTCTGTATAGATACACACATAATTGCATGCACGGTTTACACACGCACACATGCATACACACACATATACATGTAATAATTATTCATTGTTCTTGGCACATCAGTTGTTTTAATCATTTCATGAACTCTTAAATCTTAATTATTTTTACTCTGAAAAAAAACAAAAAAGGTATAAAAATTTCATTGGCTGAAATTTAACTGAAAATAACTGCACATGCTCTTGTTGCTGTGATACTTTCTACTTTTGAAAGGAAGAAATGTGCGTTTGCAGTTCAACCTTTTGAAAAATAACTGCACTTACACAGTGCTTTCATTTCCTTTTGTTTATATATTTCAAATCTAATTATGCTCTTCATGATCCTCTCGCCATAAACACTTTATTTTCAAGCAAATTAAAAAAATTTTTTCAAAATTGTACATAAATCATTTTTTCAAAATTGTGTGTGTGTGCATGCGCATTTGTGTACACATAGATTGGTACAATAAAAAGACATTCCAACTGTTATATTTTAGAAACACAAACTAGAAACTGCTGATTTGACTTTTATGTGATTATCAGTAAATGCCTAGTGTTTTATTTTAAAATTTTATCATTATTCCTTTTTGAAATTGAATGAAAGTTGTATCATGAACCTTCAAACAAAAAGAAATAGAAATTGATTATCATATACTTATTGTTTTGCTCTTTATTTTTTATTTTTTGGTGCATGGTGTTTATTTGTTTTTATGAACTGTTTTAATCAGTAATCAAAATATATGAAACTAATTCATGCAATTGTTCTCATCAATGCTAATCCAGATTTGTTGATGTTGGGCTCTTCAATACCACATTAATTCTTTTTTAATTTTTATTACCAAGTGAAGAATGTTCATCTCCATATGCTTTGATTAATATATAATGTTGGCATAAAAACAAATTCAAATTTTCATAAACTAGATTTACCTTAATTAGCTACACAAAATTACTCCCTGACTCACATCCCCTCTGACTCTTCAAATATCAACATAAAAAACAAAAACTAATTCTAATTCCTATAGTGGAATTTTGCCTTATTTAGCTATCCTCAGTCACTCCCCTCCCCTTCTAAAACCTTTTATACTATATAATTTATAAACATTCCTCTACTTAAAATATCTCCTCAACTCTTTCTCTTAATCCCCTACATCTCTTTATATATCTTTTTATTTTATTCTCAGGTCCATTTTTAATTTCTTCTTTAATTTTAAATTTAAATTAAAAATTTGTTTTTTCTATTACCCCCCAATTCGTTGTCAGAAGGTTTAATATTCTGGATTTTTTAATAAAACTTCTCCCCTTTAAGATAGATACTTACCACCCTCCTTGACCCATGTCTTGTGCCTATCATCTAACCCTAACTCTAGCCTCTATATTAGGTGTTTTTTGGCAAGTTCAGGTTGACCCTTTAGCTTCCAATATCAATTTCTCAGTTTACTGCTACTTTCTGCTTCCTTTAACTTTACAGACATGAACTTTATTCTACACACTGGTTGAAAAGACAGACGACCACTATTCCCCATATTTGGATTTTTTTTGATTATTAATTATATTGCTCTGTATAAATAAAATACATTGAGCTCTCTTTTGTGGATCAGTTCTAATATTTTTATATTACTAGGATCCACTTGGATTATATACCAACGGATTTTTTACCGTGTGTGTGAAGTCTTTCAAGTGCAAAAGACTACCAAATCATTTTTATTTTCTTAAACTTCATTTTTTATTTTTTTTAAAAAAAAACCCTACAAAAGATTTTTTCTTACTCTGCAACTAAGGAAAATGATTTCAGTAAAACACTTTCAACAGAATCTTTCAGTTTCTTATAAAATAACTTAATAGTAAAATTTATTCTTCATGTTATTAATCTAACTCTTGCTGATCTTTAGAAACCTCTTAGATTAGATTTTATTTTTTGCCATTCATGAATAAAGCTCTCTTTAACATTTGATATAGTTAATTTTTCAACAACACTTAGCAGCATCCAAGGATCTTCACATGATTTGTACAAATTTACAGCTGCTAAAAAAAAATTCTGATATTTTGTCTAAAATTAGATTAACATTTGACAAATATGTCCAAAATGTATTGTTTTTTTTTTTTTTTCTTTCTTTTTTTTATTTATTTAATACCATTTAGTATATTGCTCTTCTCACAATTTCAAGAGATCAGAATTAAGCAGATTAGTTGATGGGATCATTTAACATTGGTTAGATACTATGAAATTATTTTTTTTTTTTTTTTTTTTTTTACTTAAAGTATCTTAATGATTATTTAAGTCATTGAACTGTACTTTTCACTGTAAACAAGTTCAGTTATGATTCTTAATGGCAGTTTTATTTGATTCTAGGATACTTTAACTCATAATGCCTGTTTAACAAAATACATGAAAAATAGGATCAAACCTTGTATTTTATAGAAATCACATTTTTAGCCATAATTTGAAGAGACCTATAGAACTTAATCTGTTATCAAATTAATGAGAATACAAATTTTTATCTTTCAAATAACTTTTCTTGGAATATATATTGATCTGAAAAAAATCTCTCGGTGATTAAATTTACTTGATACATATAAAAGAGAAAATATTTATGCAAAAAAAAAAAAAAAAAATGACTTTAAATTTGAATAACTCCTTAATCTGGCTTTTTATGTTAAAGCTTTAATATTTTGACCTATATCATTGATGATGACTCGCTGGAGTGTTGGTCAAACAAAACTACCATATAAAACGACATGTCATGCAGTCAAGTTTTCTTGCAAAATATAATTTACTAAATAAATTTTTAAAATATGAAAACTAAAGAATTAAAAAAATCACGGGGAATAACTTATTAGTATGACTTCGGTTACTTCCCATGACATTTTTTACAAATATTAAAAAAAAAAAAAAAAATTCATTCAATTTCAAATCGGTGGCTCCTCAGAAAGCTCTGGCAAAGTTTACACGTGTTCCTTGATCAAGTTTATTGATAAATCCTGAATATTATGTTTGTAGCTTTTTAGTTTTAAAATCAGAGCATCTTGAAATTTCACTGTATTTTGTTAAATAAGGCCTTCAATGGAATTTCTGACATTCATAGCTCCAAGGATATTGCATATACAGATTTAATGTAATTACAAAAATATAAACAGCTTAGTTGTAATTTTGTAAGAATTTTTGAGATGTGAAATTATGCTTTGGTATTTGAACCAGCATGCTCATGGTTGTTATACTCAAATTTTGGCCATTGTTCCTGGGGCCATTTCAATTTTTGCCTTTATATTTAGTTATGTTAATGGAACACAGTGGAGTAAAGTATTGGTTAAAATTAGGTACTTCCACTTTTTTGCTGAAAACCAGCATAGCATGGTGAAAAAGGCCCCAAACTTAATATAAAAAAGATTTATCATCAAAATGGTTTTTATTAAGAGCAAAGACCAAAGTATTAAATTTTTAATCCTTTCTAGCACATTAGAAATTTTGTTTAAAAATCTTTTTTTTTTTTTTTTTTTTTTTTTTTTTTTTTATGTCAACAGTTGATGTAATATTTATGATTAGTGTATTTGCACTTTTTTCATAGTGAAAAACATTTTTGATTTTGAAATTCTTGCAAAAATCAAATTGTCAGATTTTAATTCACAAATGAATGAAATTATTTTTCCTTTTTTTTTTCGTTACCCTTCATTTACTTAATTTAATGAAATTACGAGAAATTAAATTTTCTTTTCCAAAATTTTTTGGTTAATTACAAGTAGAACTCCTTGGAAAATGTAAATAATCCAATGCAATAAAGCTATCTAATTATTTGATTAGAAAAGCTTTTAATTGCTTTTATAAATAAGATATATTAAGGACACTATTGTCTTGAGAAAAAAAAATTTTTCTGATGAATAATGAATTTTTACAAGAATTATTTTCAATTTTTAAAATTCTGCATTACTTTCTTTTAGGTAATATTGTAATTAAATGGAAACAATATTTACATATCAAAAATTGAAAAGTTACTAATCCCCAATATTTAAAAAAATTTTTTTTTTTTTTTTTTTTAAATGTAGAAACCTTCCCATGTCTTAAAAGCAGTTGTCCTCAAGAAAAATATGGTCATCTACAATTCTTTCAGTATCCATCATGTTTACATCTCAACCAGCTTTGCAAATCATCCCTTCAAAATTTTAAACTTTAAAATTTAAGTAATTTTTATTTTTAACTTAAATTTTTCTTATTCAATTTCTATTTAAAGTTCTTATTTTCTTTTAATTTGGGTGTCATTTTGAAATATCCTTTCAAAAAGATTTTTTTTTTTTGTTAGTAGTTGGGTTTTTTTTTTTTTTTTTTTTTTCAAGTTTATTCTTTTTTGTGAGTTTATTTTGACAAAAATGTAAGGCTATAAATAGATAATTGCTGAAAATATTGTTAAATTGCAAAAATTAAAAAACAAAAACAAACATTTCGTAAATTTGTCAATTTCTGGTCAACCATACTTAGCTTTTCAACACCTTGGGCTGCCAATCGATTAACATGTCAGGAAAACAAGACCCCATGGTTAAGAAATGCTTGTATACTACATTTTATGCTGTAAGTAATATTGTTTCAGATCAAATTAATTTAACTTGAAATTTGACAAATTTCCTCAAATAACATTTAACAAATATATATTTTATTTTTGGAAGATTTTTAAAAACAAGAAAAAAACTTGTTTACAAATCTATCAAAATGGCTATTTATGAATTTTATCAATTTTCTGTGAGCAAAAAGTTGAGATTCAAATCAATATAATTTCTATTTGAAATACATCAGAGTATTTTGTTTACTGGAAATAGTAAATTTAATCATTTAG